AAAAAAAAAAAAAAAAAAGAAGAGCAGAACAAAGCTGGAGGGGCTGACATTTCCCCGTTTCTAAACTTATCACAGGCTCGGCACCTGTAGCTCAAGTGGCTAAGGCACTAGCCACATACACCAGAGCTGGCCAGTTGGAATCCAGCCCAGGCCTACCAAACAACAATGACAACTACAACTAAAAAATAGCTGGGTGAGGGTGGCACCTGTGGCTCAAAAGAGTAGGGCACTGGCCCCATATGCTGGAGGTGGCAGGTTCAAACCCAGCCCCCCAGCCAAAAATCGCAAAAAAAAAAAAAAAAAAAAATTAGCCGGGCCTTGTGGCAGTCACCTGTAGCCCCTGCTACTTATGAGACCGAGGCAAGAGAATCACTTAAGCCTAGGAGCTGTAGGTTGCTGTGAGCTGTGATGCCACAGCACTTGACCCAGGGTGACAGCTTGAGGCTCTGTCTCAAAAAATGGAAAAAAAAAAACTTATCACAAACCTATAGTAATCAAACCATGCGATACGGGCATGAGATGATCAATGGAATAGAATCTGAAAAACTAGAAATAAACCCAAATCTACAAGTGACTGATTTCTGATAAGGTACCTAGACCATTCAATGGGGAAAGACAGAAGTGGTGCTAGGACAGCTAGACAGCCATACACAGAAGGTGGCTGGACCCCTACACTTTATACTATATATAAATTATTCACTCAAAAAGGGTCAAACAGGCCAGGTATAGTGGCTCAGGCCTATGATCCCACCACTCTAGAAGGCCAAGGCAGGTGGATTGCTTGAGCTCAGGAGTTTGAGAACAGCCTGAGCAAAAGCAGAAAGACTCTGTTTCTACTAAAAATACCAAAACTAGCCAGGCATTGTGGTGCCCGCAGTTCTGGCTACTTGGTAGGGTGAGGCAGATCATTTGAGCCCAAGAGTTTGAAGTTGTTGTGAGCTATGACGCCATGGCAGTCTCCCCAAGGCAACAGAGTGAGACTCTGTCTCAAAAATGATTGATTGATCAAATCAGTAAACAAAACAAAACAAAATAATGAATAAAATTTCTGTACTGCAAATAATACCATTAAAAAGTGAAAAGAGGCTCGGCGCCTGTGGCTCAACCGGCTAGGGCGCCAGCCACGTACACCTAAGGTGGCGGGTTCGAATCCCCAGCCCGGACCCGCCAAACAATGAC